TTTAAGTCACCTTTAATCACCCCTTCGCATGCATTCATGTAAACAGCACCAGCTTATAGGTGCATTCATTTTTTTCAGTCTTTCACCATTCTTTTGGCCCGCTTCCTGTATTTTCCCTGTTCCTTTCTGCATGTGTCCTTCTCTGGCTTCGGGATGGAAGTTCTAGCTGCGTCGTCATGGGAGATGACTCTCTCCATCTGCCTCCGCAGCCATGAGCCCATCTCCATCACGCTTTATCCGAGGGACTTCCACCACCCCCACCCTCCTGGACCCCTCTTCACCATTCTGACAACCCCTGCCCCCTGCTCAATAGCCTACATAAGCCTGCGATGATAAGTGTTCTCCCTCTTTGTGCGGGTTGGGATAAGACAATGCCACAGAGCACTACAGAACATCATCCATCTCATAGCTCATCAATCTGGCAGACAAAAGATGAAATGTAGCTCAAAGTCCCTTTCGCAAAAGGGGTTTTCTCTTTGCTTAGAAGAGGCTTGTAGCCCAACTTTCTCGCTCCTTTTCACTGCTAAGTAAAGTTCTTCTCCTCATGGCCACAGAGGAGGAAAGTATGGCTGTCTTTTCATAAAACACCAGTGCATAATTACAACTGCACAAAAACCCAATCAAATAAGTAGACACAATTTCAATATCAAGTGACAGATGTACTCAGTGGCAGCAAAATTATCTTTTAGGCATGAAAAGCCTGACTGGAAACATGCTGTTAACTCACCAAAGCATGAGGCCTCTGCCACATTTACAGGAATTTGTTTTGTGGTAAATGCTAATTAAAGCCTGCTGTCAAATAAATGACACCATCTACTTTTGGTTCCTTGATTAAGTTTACATTGTCTCATGGCCAGCGTGGGGCTCTTTGTTCACTCACTGTGGTCTTTATTTTATTTATGTGTTTATTTGTTTCAGCAATACATTCCTAACAAGATACTCCTTTTATGAGTAAATGTAAATTTACTTATACAGCATTTAGATCCATGTGAACAATAGTGTGTTGTTTCACCTCTTTAACCACCATGACATATAACAAGAGCATCAGAATGTAACCACCAAAGCATTAACTGTAACAAATTACTGTAAACAACCAATAAATTGAGTATAGTAACGTGCTGTAATCAACTTTTTCTTCTTTTTCAGTCATCAAGTCATCTGACTCGAGTCTTGCTCTGTTGCTTGTTTCTCATCTCATCTGAGCAAAATCCTGTTAGAGAAATCATGGGCACCGTCTACATCATAGGTGTCAAACTCTCGCCCGCGGGCCAAATTTGGCCCGCAGCCTAATTACATTTGACCCGCGAAGCCATACCAAATTATTATTAGAGCTGGCCTACTGGTATTATACAGCTAATATATATATTGTTTAGTATTAAGCTTTGCTTGTTCCATATTCAGTTTTTCAGCAAAACGTGTTTGAGTCCATAAGAAAAGATTCATTCTTATATCTGGAGGAATAAATATATTTCAATAAATATATTTCAATAAATATTAACGTTAGCCCGCGACTTTGTTCCAGTTTTGAATTTTGGCCCATTGTGTATTTGAGTTTGACACCCCTGGTCTACATCTTCCGTTATTGGTCTAAATGGAGTTTATTTAACCCTGTTTTCAAAAGTGTTTTGAGGAAGCAGTACGAGAGGAAACTGTTATCTTGCATTTGAAAAAAAAGAAAATGAACTGAGAGACAAGAACACAGACTGAAAACCTTTTCTGCTTAAAAAAATGGCTTTTTTTCTACTTACTGATCTACAGTACAGTGAAACATCCTAAGCTAACCCTCGTTTTCCTTTATGTTGCTAGGGAAATTAGAAGCACTTACAATGATTTATTGAAATATGTTTCAATATAAATTGAAATAAAGTATATAAGGCAAAACCAGAGTTTATGCAATTCTAAAAGGCCTGAAAGTCAATATGTGGTATGACCACCTTTATTATTCCACATGGCCTGAACTCTCATAGGCAAGCTTTCTTGTAATTTCTTCAAGTAGTCTTCAGGAAAAGTTCTCCAGTTTTTTGTTTCACTTTTGTCATCTTACATTGCTTCAATAATTTTTTGGCATACATCAGCCTTTTCTACCCATTTCCCTTCCTTAAGAATGGCTTTATGACAGCCACTTCTCCACTGAGACCATTTATGGTGACCCTTCAGTGAACAGTACATGGATGAGCTGAATGGCTAGCATCTCTCTCTTTTTTTTTTAGGTCCACTGTTCCTTTGTCCATTTTCCTCAGATTTAAGGAAACATTGCACACCATGCTGCAATAACAACCCGTTGTGCAATTCTAATAGCCAGTGGGAATTATTTTTATAGAGCAAAAGTACTATTTTATGTCTGTCAAGTTGTGCAGTCTTTAGCTTTTTTTTAATGAATTCAACTCAAGAGATGGAAACAAAGTATGTGTTTCACAGGCTGCTAATAGTAAAGTAACAAAGACTGGTTTCATAACGGGTTATTGTTTTATTCTAAGGGATTTTGTGAAGAATTAACAACAAAAAAAGCTTGTTGTGAGTGTGTTAAAGTGGGCATAATATTCAAATAACATAGTGTTCCTATTCTGCTGTGTGTTATTTATAGTGGCAACATACACTGTTTTTATCAGCTGTTCATATTTGTATAAAATATATGCGACTGCTTTACCTGTCCCAAAATTACACAGGGCACCCTTAATTATCATCATTTCTACTCTGGTGTTCATTTAAAATTACTACGAATATTTGAAAAAAAATGTATTAAGTCTGTTTCAAACTTTAAAAAAAATTAGCAGAGCATCAGCATGAATGGTGCATTTCAGACAAAGGGAGGAGATGTGTTGTAGCAGCTTGTACACCAACAGCAGCAGCAATATGACCAAAGCCTCTAATCCATTTTACACAAATGTTCTGTTAAACCATTCAGCCAACATATCAGGTTAACCTGTTAATCTGCTCTTTGTGTCTGGCTCTCAGGGGCTTTTCTCATGATCAATATTATAAGTCCCAAACTGTCCACAGACTCCAAACAGACATGCTTGCATTGTTACCATAATCAAGACACCACAAAGTTAGCATTTTGAGTTCTGTTATTGGTAAAACCCTAGACTGGAACCATAGAGAACTATATCCTGCTAAGTAAACACAATATACTTTTAGACGTAGATGACCTCAATCTAAGTCTCCACCTTGAAGTATTAGGTTAAAACCAGTGGCTATTTCTTGTTGAGAGAAGCTTCAAACCAATCCAGCAGGGAATCAACCAGACCACCTCAGGTTAATCTCACTACGACCTGAAATGCCCATGAAGGATTAAGTCCAGTGTACACCTGCCACTGATTTTTAGCACACAATGTCACTTAAAGTGACTGCGTTATTTTAAAATCACAAATTATAAACATAACTCTTAAGAGCTGATTAATTACCCGCGTTATTCAACGATACATAAATCTCTGATGCAGGACTGCTTAGAGTTTAGCTACAGAACTGATGACCCTTAACTTGTCCATATTTGCAGAGCACATTTTTAATGTCTTAACATGCTTTTTTTCCTTGTAAAATTGGAATGATTTTATATGATCTGATTTACGTCCACCTCTAAAAATAAAGTTTTACTTACAGAACTAGAAATAGGACTGAAAATGCACTCTAACATCTAGCAGAGTCTATGCGTGTCCAGCTATTATTGTAGCAGATATAATCTGTGTGAAGAGTTGTGTAGCTGTCAAGGTGTGTATGTGTGTTTTTAAAAAAAGCTTCACACCAAGATGAAATCTCTGACACTCAGACAGTTCACATCAGAATGGACCTGCACAGCAACACAGAACCCCAGGAATTGGACAGAGTGGATAGATTCTGTCCATGCAATTCACACCTCCTCTGACCATTATTACAGCCAAGTTTGGTTGTCTTAAGAACGCTGCCCTATCAGTAGCTAGCTGGGGTAAAATGACCAGTCTAAACTGAGGAATCTGTCTTCAAAAAATACCTTTGTGTGTTTGTTTGTTTTTTTAAAATTTCTCTCCCACAAAACTGACTCTGGCTTCAATAAGACCCAACATATGGGAAGTATCAGTGAAAATCTGGTCTGATTAGATATCACTTTTCACCTTATTTTTTGTGTTTCTGACAACTCTCATGTGACTACCATGTGCATGTGGCCTTAATGACTCATGGTGAAACATCATCATGTGCATGAGGCAAAAGGTTCCAATGCCTTGCCTCTCTGTCAAAAAAAGAGGGGGGAAAGCGAGAAAGCTGGCGGTGGATGTCAACTTAAAGTAAAGAACTTTAAACTAAGACGAATTACTGAGAAGAATACACTGGTGTCTACCACAAAGCAGACTGCGTTTTGTATATACACTTTGATGAACAAGATATTTTTGTCTCTTAAATGACCCCTTGCCAAAACATTACCTTTATTTAACCATATTCGGCCACTACAGGATTTTTTCGGTTTTTTTAAAACTGCAGAAGTGCAGGTGTAGTCTTTAAAATTACTAGTTTGCTTTAGAACTTAACATAAGTGACTTACTCAACTTCTGCCTCATGACCTCAGCTCCTCCGTGTCGACAGAAATCAGTGTTTGAACACTAAACATTTCACGCCGTACCGTGGAGCCTGCAGTACGATCCTGCTGCCTAGTGGCGCAGTTAGGAACCACAAGCTGCGATGTAAATTTTCCAGCAGCATTAAAACCGTTGCAATTTGTAATACTTTTAGTGTCTTTGTTTAATGTCACTGTCGCTCTCGCATTGTTTGTTGTTGTTTTTGTCCATTTTTTCTTCCTATATATGTGTGTGTGTATTTATATATATACATGTCTTACTTGTAATTCTTTTAAGATCTCTTATTTTGCTTACTGTCATTTAGATAGCTATAACTCAGTCTTCTATTCTGTGTATCTGTTACTTTTTTTCTGTTTTGAGAATCAGAGAGCAATAAAATAAATTATTACAATAAAATTCCCAGCTGCGCGCCCATGCTCGCTGCGCGACGGGTCCCTCGGCGGCACCCGTAGACTGACGGTAAAGTCAGACGTGTATCTAAACGGGAAGTTCATCCCTAAACAGCCGCTTGATCAACAGTGGTATGATCGCGCTTTGTTACAGTGTGATAATATACTAATGAATTCAAAAGAGGATGTCATCCGACTTAACGTTAGACTTGGAAAATCATCGGCAATACCCTGCGATGGATAGTGAGGCAGGCATCATCTCCATCGATCAGGAGGGAGAGTGGGGTAAGCAACAGCGGAGCTCACATATTCTAGAAAGACCCATAGAGAGAAGCAGTGTAGCTGACCCAGGATATCAACAGAGACAACACGTATAAAAGAGGAGTTTTTATAAGTCGGTTGTTTTAAAGACACAAGTAAGAGGTTTGTGTGTTGTGCTTGCTGTCACACTCCTAAGTCTAAGTTAGCCATTTAGCATTAGCCATGATGCTGTGATGATGTAACAGCAGGTAATTGGAGTTATAACCAGCACTGTAACTGGAGACAGGGCACACTTCACACTGCATTGTCTGATCATTATCACAGATATGTAATACTAAATATTGATAATAGTGCACAACTTACCCTAAAAAAAACAAAAACACGAAGAATGTAGATTTTTTTTCTCATTTTTACTGATTTATTTTAATAATCGCTTTTAAGGTCTCGAAAAGTAAAACTTGTTAACAATTTATATATTTATTGTTATCTATTATTATCATTATTAATGCTATTTTTATTAGGTTACTAATAATAGACTTGCTGTTTGCACTTACTTGTGTTTTATGCTGAATTGTGTAATAACCCGAGGAAGAAAATGTAGAAGAAACAAATAAGATGTTAAAAATGAAAGTGAAACGGATTTGTTAAAGTGTGACCATAATAAACTTGTTTGGCCTGTTAGAGTTTATGCTTTGAAAAAGACAAAAAACAAAGATACATTTTTAAGGGTACATTTTTTGGTGTTAGTAGTTTTGTCTGTTATTGTGTTATGCTGTGTTGTGCATGCATGTTTTTGTGGCACAGTCTGAACTGTATTGATAGCATTTCCAAATTACACATTGCCTGTATGGGCTATTTATTGAATATGGCAGAACTAACTAAATACAGTAAATTTGATCATACCAGCTTGTCTCTTTTACTGGCAGTTAACCGCAAGAAAAAAGCAAAAGCCAAATGTGCCACTTACTTATTTTGAAGATATTTTTTGTAATTGTTTTGTAATTGTCTTCTTCAATAATCTCATGATAAAGATTTCTAATGGAAAGCAATTGTCTGTGTTCTGTTCTCATTGACATACAGACTTAAGCCTGTTCGATGAGCTGGAGAAACTAGGCGATGAGCTGCGGGATGCAGATGAGCTGCTTGAGGCTCTTGATAATGCTGGCTATGTGAGTAACTCATCCTCTTAATATGCAAATACACGGGGAAGTGAAAGATCAGCCCAGTGGAAATCTGAAAAAAATTGACTGTGTGGTGCTGAAGGTAGAGCCTAAGATGGCTACAGCCACATTTTGTTATGCAAGGATAGATCATGCACCAAAAAAAAAAAAAAAAATTCCACCTACATCGTGCATGCAAAAAAAATACTGTAGACTCATATAAATGCCCCAGAATTCAAACGTGTTTAATTTTATCAGCTATAAATGACACATTGATTGGATTTCCCTACATGCATTTGCTTCCATTCTGCTTTCTCAGGAAGTCCATTTTTTTCAAAACCATATGTTTGATTTCTCAGGCCAATGGTGTTCCAGTTCTGGACTTTGACATCGACATTCCTCCATGGAATGAAATGGATACATGCAGCATTTCCACAGGTACGTGGTGTCACACTGCAGCACAAAATAAGGACTATATAAATAAATCTAAAAGGGATATTATTCAGGGATAATATAGCTGTTTTACTACATGCATGTAACATTGGTGCGTCATTATTTTTCAAACTTGTCCACCATGCAGTAGGTTTAATGGTCCAACAATACAAAAGTATTGAATGGTTCAATACTTGAGAGACGCATTGGCTTATGCTGAATAAGACTCGCACATATTGCCCATTGTTTCCATGTCCTTGTGCATCCAGATGGTGAGGTGAGCGTGGACTCTCTGTCACCTGCCCACACTCTGAGCTCGGTGCCCTCTCCTGCCTCAGTGGAAGCTTTGTCTCCGTGTTCCTTGCAGGTAAGACACGGTTTTCAACTCTTTGTCCTTCCTGGTTTTTCTGCATTTGAATTTCATTTCCAATGCAAATTGCACTTTGTTTCACAATGTGATTATTTACATGCTTGCCCCTCCTTTGAGCAGTTGCAGCAACAAAAATTTTCATCCAGATGGCGTTCAAACAATGACAGCTGCTCTTTCCTTTTGGATGGTCATGCACACACTTGAGACACTTATTACCAAAAGCCTTAAACACCTTGTCAGATTAATAATTTGCCATCCATCTGAAATGTGCTCCAACGTCTCGTTAAAAACAGGAAAAAAAGGTGCTGACAGCTTCAAGCATATTAGCATAATTTAGCAGGCAGATGTTTTCACAGCGTGTCAAAACAAGGACAAGGGCTACATCTTTTTCTGGCCCCAACACAGTCTGCACGCATTTGTCTGCTAAAGGAATCATCCTGACTTCTCCAAGGACACATTTGTCTGCTGGAGTCTTTGAGTACTGATAAGGACCCTCTATCTGTTTTTATCTGGCGTGCCTTGAGCACACATAGAGTACAAATGGCTTCACAAGTTAATTTATAGTGTCACGGGTGAAACGTATTTAAACAGTGATGTGACTACACTGATCATGTCCTCGAAGATACACGATCTAAATCTCATTTGTTTCTTCATTCAGGATGAGGCCCTGTCTCCACAATCGCAGCCGTCTCCTCTTTCAGTCTGCTCAGAGTCCAGTGGCTTTTCTGAAATCTCTTCCCCACCTCGAAAAGCTGCAAAGAGGACCAATCAGGTTGTACGAGGTGAGGCAGCTTCTGCCACCACACGTCTGCTAGCTATTCAGCTTTTCTCAATATTTAGACATTTGATTACTAAAACAGGGAAGATTTGCTATTTTTGCACCACAGTATGGGTTTGCAAAACTCTGGGATGTCGTGTCCTGAAAAAAAAAAGTCCTTTAAGAATAACTTATAACTGTAAATGCATATTTGTTTTCCTGAGCTTAGGATATTTATATGAATACCGTTTCCTTGTCTAACTACTTCCATCCCTGTCCTTTGACATATGCACACATGCACACCAGCCAAGCCAGTGCAGCCGGTCAAGAAGCCGATTCAGATTGGCCCAAAGGTTTCCATCCAGCCCAAACCACTGATTACAGCTGTGCCATTGGCTCAAGCAGCAGCTCCCATGCAGGCCAAGACAATCATCATCCAGCCCCTGCAGACCACTGTGCTCCCTGTGGTAAAACCAGCTCCAGTCAACATCAAACCAGCACCCCCTGCAGGTCAGGGCTCACACTGCAACACATCAAAACATGCTTCTCCCTCCCTGCACTGTATTGCATCAGACCAATGCATTAGTCATATTAACTGGAAATTTGATATGTCTTACTCATAATACTTTGTAACTCATAATTTAGAGATGATATTCAGGATTATGTTGTCAGTGCTACTGAATCTTTTGTAAGCAATAATTTAATTGTTGTATCTTTGCCAGTAGGTGGTGCTTTAACAACAGTTTTTGCTCTGTGTGAGGCTGTTTCTCACTATTTTGCTTGATGATCAATACATAAGAATGAAATTAGACAGTAGATTATCTTAATCAAAATATGTCCATATTTGCCTAACATTTGGGAAAAAAAGATGCTCTTTTTAAATCATTATTTTTTAATAAATAGCCGAACAAACTTGCTTTCTAACCAAAAAGTGAGACTGTTTATGGGCTGCTATGTGTTTCGTGCATTAGAGTCATTATTGCTGTTGTTTCTTTCTGGTTTAGCCTTTCTGGGTGACCAGTCAGGCCCTCTGTGTTTGTTACATCAGCAGCATCTAAGCCAATGTAAATACTTATGTCATTGCTTGGGTCCCAAATGGGTGGAGCATCTGACCTCTCTCGAAGTGAATTTGAACTTGGCTCCGCTGTCTGCCTTGTAACGGCCAAGATGGCAGATGGTTAAGGCCAAGACATTCAAATGCAAAGCCCCAGATGGAAATTTATTCAAGCGTGCTCAGTGCTATGAAGGGTATTGTTTTATGAGCTCATCAACATTCACAGCTGAGGAGTAAACCTCCTCAGCAACGGGACGATTTGAAAAAGGAAAGAAAGGAAATGAAACTGTTTATTGATTATTTTCCAACAAACAAACATGCTGAACCAAACGTTTGACGTTTTTTTTAGGCCTATGACTTCTTACACATGGTGAACTTGGGCGCAGGACTTGGTGTTGGCACTGCACACATTCATTAGCAGAACTGGCAAACGCTTGCACAATTAGCATTGACAGGTTTAGCATTAAAGGGGAAGGTGGCAGGGTCAGCTTGATGAGTGGTTCCTGGCACACCGCTCTGGGAGGCTTCTGCATTAGTAAGACCTTAATTTATAGTGACAGTCTTGCATTATGTTTTCCTTGTTTATTGCATTTGAGCTATGTTGTACTTCAAGTGTGGGGACACGTGCACATTTATGTCTGTTTAAGCTGATAAACATCACAAACCTATCACGGTGGAATGTGCAAGTGTAAGACCATGGGTCAAGATGGCAAACATCTTCTCCACCTGTAATTTAACAAAAAAGTCCTGTTAAAGAGAAGGAGGTGTATGTGGGTCACCAGAGGCAGGGAGGAGTTTGGAGGAACCTGCATCTGCATCATTTTTACAGGGCACATTGGGCTCATCTTTCTTTTGTGTATTGTCACTGTACAAGACGAAGGCTGGATGAAAAAATAAATGCGAAAGCAAAGTAATCTTCATTAGTCTATGTTAATCACACAATAAAAATATGATTAGCGTGGTTAAGACCTTTAATTTGAAAAAGCCTGTGTGTCTCTCTCTCAGGTCACCCTCTTTTGCTGTCTCAGCCAAGCCAGCTACTGCAGATCCAAACACCACAGGCCATCTCTGGGAGCGTGGTCACCATGCCAGCACTCAGCCAGGACTGGTCTGTACCCGTCGCTGCTCCACCAGTGGTTTCGGGCACACTTTTGACCCCATCCTCAGAGGATGATGTGAGTTCTGAGCATTCTCTAAGAATCTTCTTTTATGAGAGTTTCTATATAATCACCCGACACTGAGATGTTACCACTTCTGGTTTAAAAGCTCTTATCCATAAAATATACAGGAAAAAAAAATTCTTTCTTACTTTGTGTGTCATGGTTATTCATCTTTCTCTGCATGCTGACTGTTAACTTGTTTTTGTGGGGATTTGTTGGGTGTTTACTCTAAAATCAGGTGCATTAAATGCAGGCACATGTGGTGATATAAGTATAAGTAGTATAATTCTTATTTGTTCCACTTTTCATAGACAGGTTACAAAGTGCTTTACAAACTATACAGAGTTGGAGTTAAAAGTAAATATAAAATTAAAAGAAAGCACCGGAGTAATATATCTGATTATCGTTCAGAGCAAGTTTACCAAAATAAATAAATAAATTACATGCTTGTAAAACATTTTTATTTTTACCCTGTGTGTTTTAGAAGCATGCAGGCCTTTAATGAGTATTTCAACGACAGTGGAGGAGTATCTTAAGGATAGGTAGGATTTTTAAGCTCACGAAACGCTGCGATGGTCGTAGTCTTTAATTTGCTACCTAACTAGCAATGTGCCCAAATAAATGGTGCCTTCAACACCTGTGTTTGTGTGCGCGTGTGTGTATCGACATGCAAGTACTTGCCTGTGTGCGCTTGCGTGGAGCAGCATTGTTTTGCATCGTGAGTGTGCGTGCAGTTGCTCGCTTTGTGATGCTGTGCTCCGGGTGTTTACGCTTGAACTGGATCCTGTCCAACCCAAACTCCCCCATTTAAACCTTTTTTTTTTTTGTATTAATTTTAATCTCACAAACCATTAACTTTGATTTTTGGCTAAAATGGTGGAAATGAAAAAGCATTTATAGTTGTTATTTATAATAATGAATCCATTTTTCCACACTGAGAGAAAAGTTATTACTCTGCATGGACCATGCCAGTCACTGATGACACAAATTGCTGCTTTTTTTTGCATAGAGAGTGAGTACCAGGCACGTTCATGTACTTTATATCAGGGGCACTCAAAGTGCCAGTGTAGGGAGCCAGTTTATGATGGAGGGCTATAGAAATCCACACGTGAAACACTTACTTTGCAATGTCACTGCTCAGAGGGTGGTTTGTCTTGGTGGTTGTCATTTTTGTGCGAGTTTTGGAGGGTTTTGTTTTGTTTTGCGGGTTTTTTAAACCACTGATGGCATTTCTTGAAACCAACTCTGTTTCTTAAGACTTATGGTGGCTAGAGCAGAACTGAAAGTTACATGAACTTGTTCTTATGCAGCTTCTTTCTACTCTACATGAGCATTCGAAGTGCTTTATAGAACATGCATTCGCACAAGCACCTTTTTCTGTGCCTTGCCTCTAGACTAGTGCTTTCTCTCTAACGATCGCATACACCTACACTCTGGTGAATTCATCGGGAGCAACTCAGGGTTCAGTATCTTGCCCCAGGATTTCTTGGCATGCAGATCATACCAAAGTACGCTTGGGCAACGAACCACCAACCTTCCCATTAGGAGACCACCTACTCTATCTCCTAAACCACAGCCACCCATAAGAAGTTAAAACAGAAGAAAACTGCTCCTTTTGTCTCATTTTGCACCATTATACATAGTATGAAATGTAGAGAATCACATTCTTTCTTTGTTGTGCGCAGGGGCCGAATAAAATGTTAACAACGGCCACCATTTGTGACCACAGACCACACTTTGAGAACCGTGGCTTGAGACCACGTTATGATCTGAAAGGAATGATTTTCACTTTGTAATCAGAGATAAATCTTAAGGAATGCTGCAGAGCACTGAGACGACACAAACATGTAAAAATGCAAATAGATGATGAGTGTTTTTTTTTAAATTTTGCTACAGTAGAACAGATTCGTTTGAAAAGGACGGGACATTGCTTTCAGTATTAATGGCAGAGGGTGTATTCTTTCGTGTGATGCGTTCAGGGGTGATGCCAGGACAGCTGCGCTTTCCCCACACGCATTCGTTTCTCCCTGGTTGATTTTTACGACAGCGTATACATGCAACCACGGCCCCGTTAACTGCAGCAGGGACTGCCCCAGCAATTTAAAAGACATAAAGTAAACTTGTAGTATTTTTTATTGTTTATGGCACATTTTCTTGGTCTCTTCATAAAGGGTCACCAACTTTTACAAGTGCTTGTCTTATTTTGTGTGGGCGTGTTTGTCGTGATCTTTTAAAGACCTGAGGCTAGCGACTCGCTGGGACTTTTAGCAAATTCGCTGTTGTTTCGGGCTTCGGTCTCCAGCACAGCAGTTACTCATGTCTTGTTCTCATCTGACCTTTATTGGGTTGAGAAACATGTTCTCACTCTGTCTGCTCTTTCGGACTTGTTTGTTTTGTTAGCAGGACTTCCACATTCCCAGCATGTCTCCTTAGCATTAGGCTGAACAGCAAAGTTGCAAAAATGAAAAGTTAACACATTTTGAACCTTTGTTAATTATGGAAAACCATGTGTCACATTTGTGGAATGTCTCTAAAACCATGTGTAGTGATTTCTGTGGTGACAGTGGGAAAATGTATCCAGATTTCTGCTGTTATTATCTCATGGGGCAGTGATATATGTGAACATGGAAAACAGTTCACATCATCTTAATTAATATTAACTTGGTTAATCGGGTAATTAAAAAAAAAGAAAAGATTCTGAAAAGCGTCTGGGTTTGTTGTGTTTTTTTTAAAATAAAATGTAATGGTTGACCTCTAGCTGTAAAAGCCGCCCACCCCTAAAAGGGCGTAGAGGAACTTGTCCAATTATCGCGGGCATAATTCAGTCGAGAGAAGCACTTTTTGCGCCAGACATCGAGAGAAATGTCGAGGAATTCCAAACCTCAGAGGCCAAAACAAATACTCCTCTCAGCCATTTGTAAAGCCAACCAAGTCAATAAAGTTTATAATAGGTGATTAAAAGAAAGGGTCTGTAAACATTTAATTGTGAGCAGGACAAAGAGATCCAAAGTTTTGAAGTTCACCTTATTTACCAAGAGAAAAAGGTAGTGGAAATTTAAAAAGCTCATCTGAAGAGCCTTTTAAAGGACAACTGGGGCAGTTTTTACACATTTTTGTTAAGGATGGAATTTTTTATATTTAGAGCAATTTCAATGGAGTTGGTTGTTTCTGTGGCACAACAAGGAGAATGTAAGAGGCTCGACTCTTCGTGAGAGAGCACTGCAGCTGCGTTCACTCATCGTGGTTTGGCTGCAGCAGAGTGGTGGACTTGATAGGCTTGTGGATGTGTAAAATGCCTGTTAAAGATGGCATGCTTGTGCCAGGTGTTGCTGCATGTTGTATCTACAGTAAGTCTGTGTGTGTGTGTCGCTGATTCTGGTCTCCACAGTGCTGTATTTTGGCCTGCGTAAGCCTGGATGTTAAACGGCTGCAAAGGATTACATGCTTCAGACAGGTGTTGTGCAGTGCGACAGCTGTAAATAGCCATCAGGGATTGGGTCAGTGTAGTGTAATGGGCTCCCAAATGGCAAGGGATTTAGGTGTATGTGAGTGTGTGTTTGTGTGCATGTGCATGCATGCAAGGGAAACCAATCCTGTCTGAAATTGCAGGCCTCCACAAAGGTTCCCATTAGTAGGATGGAAGGATTTACAGGGGTGGGCCCCAGGAAGGCCTTGTGGTCCCTGCGTACAGCTAACTCAGATATTTAGGCATGTTTAACTTCTTTTCATCAGAAATATTTCTAAAGCTGGACAGCTGAGACTGAGCTTGATTAAAAACATTGAATCCACTCACTGGCCACTTTTTTTAGGTATACCTTTCTAGTACTTGGACCCCTTTTTCCTTCAGAATGGCCTTAATTCTTCATGACATGGATTCAACAAGATGCTTGGACCTATTCCTCTGAGGTTTTGCAGCAACATCACACAGTTGCTGCAGATTTGCTGGCTGCACTTTAATGTTGCAAATCTCTTGTTCCAATACTTTACGTCTCAGACTTAATCCGTTAGATTGAGATCTGGTGACCGTGGAGGCTTTTTGAGTAAACTGAGCTCATTGTCATGTTGAAGAGCCTTGTACCTAATTCTGTTGGAAGCAGCCACTGTAAGATGCATACACTGTGGTAAAAAAGGAATGGACATGTTCAGTAACAATAGTGTGGTAGGCTTTGGCATTCACACTTGGTACTAACAGGCCCACAGTGTGCCTCTGGCCTCTGGCATTAACAGGGCATTTCCACCCAGAGAACTGGCACTCACTGTTTTTTGGACCAATCTCTAAAAACTCTAGAAATGGTTGTGTGGGAAAATCCCAGTAGGTCAGCAGTTTGTGAAATACTCAGAAGTCACTTAAATCACCTTTCTTTGCCATTAGCAGTTGAAGAAAGTAGGCAGTGAGTAAATAACACATGAACACTTAACTTAAGACCCCTTTTTGTAGTCTCACCGTACAAGCACTGTGCACTTCACACTGCATACTGCTGATGGGGAAAAATAGTAGTAGCTGTTATATTTTTTTCAGAAGCACAGCACAGTTAATCGCTCACTGTTTATATATAATTCCAAAATTTTGTCCTTAAACTGCCAGAACTCTGATCCAGGGTTATTATAGTAACTAAACTAAAATTGATGTGTTCATTGAGAGTCAACTGATTTCCAAAAGTTCTACTGCCTGTACTAATTTTCCTAAATCTTGCCTCTGGCTCATGCCCTCCATACAATAATCATTACTAACTAAATTAAAACTAAACATTTTTAAACAACAAAAAATCAACTGAAACAACCAAACACACTCTGGAAACGAACTCAAACTAAACTGAATTAATAGACTTAAAGAAGTCAAAACGAAATAAACAAAAATCACATTAGAAAATACACGACTGTAATAATGATCCACTCGCATCCTATTAGCAAACTTTATGGCTGAAGTAGGTTCATCATTCTGCTTGCTCTTTGCTCAACATATTGCAACCACATTGGCTACGACAGATCTGTAACTCATCACCTCTCTCTCTCGGCTTCCTCCTGCATTAGCAAAGATGTTCTCTTTGTCTGTATTGTGCGCATCCTTTCGACTGTTGGGGGACTTGTGATCTCGCCGACTGTCTGCGTCACGCTCGACTGAAATGTCACCTATGGAAACCATTTCACAGTTATGGGGGTTTATGACTCACAGTAAAATCATGAAACATTTACACCCTGACCCGTTAGAGGAAGCCACTATCATCTGGATAGATTAATGGTTAATCACAAACTTCCTTTTGGAATAATCCTTGAACTGTTGAACTGAATGAGGGGTTGCTCACTTGCATTGTGGCGATCAGACTCCTGTATGCTTTTCTCTCTTCACCCATATTCATCTGTTGAAGTGCTGTTGACCAGGAGTTGGGATGATCATGCAATTAGATGCATTCACACGGCGCTGATCAGTGAACCAACAGCTGTCTGCAGCTGTTGCTGTATGAGCTGTGCTGTGCTAATGGGCATTTTCCCCCCTTGTTTGCATTTCCCACTGGCATTCAAATAGTTTGAGTGTGAACAAGTATCACTGTTAGCCTCTCAACCCGCCAAGCTTCTTGAGAAATGCCACTCAGCCCCTTTTTTTTTGCCCCTTGCCCCACATCTTCCTCCCCAGCCTCATTGTGGACGCGACGTGAAGTTCCCCGTGCTCTTCACTCCCTGGTAACTGCTTACTTGCAGTGTTCCCAGGCTCGGGCTAGTGGCACGGCTCCCAGACCTCGGCTGGGAGACAGAAGAGTTTCTCAGGAGACAGAACACAAATACAGGGATCCAAATAACTTAATCACCAGCGGGGCTATTAGACCCTGGATCTTAGAGACTTACCCTTAGGAGGACGTTTGTGTTTGGAGAAGAGGGGCGGCGAGATGGCTGGGGAGTGGGTGGACAATGAAGGTGTTTGGGTAATCTGTGCCACTGGTTCTGCTAATTTGAGAGAGGTCATGTTAACATATGCACTATTTGGGTTAGCATGCGAGACTTTGATTTCAGTTCTCATCTTACTGACGTCAAGTGGAAAGAATCTAACAACTTGAGCGTGTCTTTATTTATTTATTAATTTGTTTATGTTGATATTTTTTAAGTCTTGATTCACACAAACGCCTCAGATAAACAAATCTGAACTGAAAAAAATGCCAGAATTGTATTTATTTATTTATAGTTTACCTTGAGAGTTAAAACAATAGATGCTGGCTGTGGCCGTTCTTATGTTTCCACATTTAGACCACTAACATATAAACTGTTTCTGTGTTTATGTGCCTGATGTGAACCCATTTATCAATGAGTGACTCCTTTTCTAAACACACATATAGAATAGAAGCATTGCAGGTGACCTGTTATGCCCCTAGAGGATCCTGGTGTAAATATTTTACTTAAAGCATACACTTAAGGGCTCTTTGGAGCGATGTTAATGCCAGGATTTGCTGAAGAATTGTCATTAACCTTACAATACATCCTTAATGTGTCTGTTTATTATTCTATCACTGAGGTAAACTAGAGCACCAGCAACAGAGGGAGTCTCTGGGTGAGAATAACACAGTCGGCACTGGTTTTTATGTTGGGTTTATCTTTCCTGCTTCCATTTATTTTCTGCGTTTCCTGTGATTTCTTCTTTCTCATGCCAATCTCTGCAATTCAAACCTCTGCCTTCTCCCACCTCTCCTTCCTCAGTATTTTTCAATATACCTCATGTGTTCCAAGTGTTAATGAATGAGTGTTGGTTCAAGAAATGGACAGAGCAGATGTCGGAGCACATGTATGTGAAATGAAATGGCAGTAAATACAAATGAATATAACATACGTCTTTAGAATTGACTGTAAAATGATGTTTAGTTTCCCGCTGTGGTCAGAGTAATTATGTTTATGGGCAGTTTTTTTTGTTTTGTTTTTATTTTGTGTGGTTTTTTTTGTTTCTTTTTTTTGTTAATCCCATCCTCGGTTCTTGTTTGGACTTGATGGTCGACGTCACTGTGAAATCACAAAGCACACGTTCACACGCTTATTTCCCATAATTATCAAAAAAAATACACTCGAAAGATTAAAGATCAACTACTCTGGGAAATAATAATGTTTTGCCAGCGGTATTCAGCACGATCACTCTGGAACAGAAAGTAAGTTCTGTACCAGTGGTGACTCAGTAGAGATGTAGTGATTGAGTGAATCTCCTCTGATGCTGTATTTATGATGTCTGTAATGCATATTGGATGAGACAGCCGTAACCTAACTTTTTGGAAGCACGAGATGTTTCTAGTTTTCTCCTCATTCCCAAGACACTTTTGGATCATTTTACTAAAAACAACTGCTCATGTGATTCAAAAGACTTTTTATTTAAGTCAGAAGAACCTGTGGTCTGCAGTCCAACGGGTGGCTTAGGAAGTAACTGCTTCTCTTTCCTGTTTGGAGTCGAGGAAGGATAAAATATTGGCGTAACTTCAATAATAAATGATGTCCTTGTTTCTGTTTTTTTCTCACATTCCCACTGTAGTCCAAGTTGTCCCAGAGACAGCAGCGCATGATAAAAAACCGCGAGTCAGCATCCCTGTCTCGGAAAAAGAAGAAAGAGTATTTGCTTTCGCTGGAAGCTCGCCTGAAGGTGGCGCTGTCTGAGAACGAGGTGCTCAAGAATGAGAACGGCAACCTAAAGAAACAGCTGGAGGGCCTTCTGAGCAAGGTGAGATACGACCAGCGCTTCCCTCACAGTACAGGCACATGTGTTGGAAGTCGTTTTTACTACAATGGGTTTCCTCGCTTTCTCTGCAGAACACAGCGCTGAAAGCAACAGCACCCAAAAGGAGAGCGGTGTGCCTCATGGTGGTCGTGGTGTTCCTCGTTCTTAATGTTGCACCAATGAGGTGAGCGTGGGACACTGAACAGATGAATGCTTTCACTTGCCATAAAAAGTCATTTGATACAGTGATCGATGGCTGAAATTCAATTCAAACCAAATGAGTGCTGATGACGCTGATATTGTCAGGCTGCATGAATATTTCTGCCATGATTATTGACTGAATAGAAATGGGAAGCCCCGTGACTCACAGTGGGAAGCACGCCCTACATGTAAGATATTATGCAAAAAACGTTTTCCTTTTCAGACGATGTCTTCAACTTTTTAACCGCCCCACTCCCTCAAAACGAAGAAAAATCTCTTTTATCAAGTATATTGAACAAAAAGTAAAAGGTGATCATCGGTTGAGCTAATATTTGTGTGTATTAAAAGTCATTGACTTTGCATGGTAATACTTTTGGGGGTTTCCTCGTAAGACTTTACTACTATGCTCTGGAGCCAAGCACCAGAGCATAGTACTGAGTAGTATGTAGTCCATTAATGCACATGCTATAAAAGCCCACCTTTATCCTGACCAAAGCCAATCTCTTGGAAAAGAAAGTGACGATTAATTGTTCATATGTGCCGTATTGTTCTTGTGTACAGTTCAGTCCTCTGATGTTGCTGCCAGAGTTTATAGGACTTCTTGACTAATGGATGAATAACTCTCAAAACACTGCGATGGGCTGGGGCAAAAGTAAACTGTTACCACTTGTGAAAGTAAAATAAAATCATTCTGGCTTCAAACATAAGAAAGAAATGCAAAAAGCATTTGCACATGGTCATTTTTCTTATCTCTGCTTGTAATATTAACAATTGGGACAAATTGTAATGAGTTATATAAAACTACACCAAAGGGGGGGGGACTTGATTCCTCTCAGCTAGCAGATGGAGGGGTTGTGTAACTCAAGAGCGCCGTTCACCTCCAAGTGTATTGAAAAATTTTCTGTTCTCATTTTATAAAAATGTTTATTTCCTACTGGGAATTGCATTCTCCACGAGGATCCAAGCATATCTTTTCTGGATCTGAAACTTCTCTTTACTAAAATCCACTTTTTTCTTTCCTTTTTATCTAGA